TGTACAGAGTGTTCCATCACACACATGGGTGCGTGTGCCAACGCGACCTTTGTCACCGAAGAGATCGCCGAGGAGCGACGCTGCATCAAATGCCCGAGATCGCTCGACGGCAACGAAGGAGCTGGGGAGGCCGAGGACAAGGCAGGGGGTGTAGGCAAGGGGAAGGAAAAGGGGAAGGGCAAGGTCAAGGGCAAGGGCAAGGAGGCTTCCAGGGGACGTGTCCGGCCAAGTCTTTTGGGTGGACCCTCAGGCAACGAAGCGGTGCTCATGGACAAGTGCAGGTAAGTATTTTGGTCGGTTTTCCTCTCTTCAGGACGGATTATTTTCAGGAGGCTGGAATGAGCGATCTACTACGTCTGTATCATGGCATTTGTCCACGTGCATGTTGTAGTCTAAGCGACTGCTTTTTGATGAATACCTGTGGCGCCTGAACACAATGGAATCTCAAGCCCCAACGTTTCCCATGATGTTCTGGCCCTTTCGTCGTCTTTTCTGCGCTCTCGTCACTTGTGATGATTTCCGACCAGAGACGAGAACACCACGCTACACGATATTGTCCCTCTCGACCCCACGGGATCCGACGTCGACAAGCTCTCCTTTCGCAATGCTCCGAAGCTCGTCATCGTGTCCATCGGCGCGGAGCAAAGGCTCCTGAGGACCTCCGAGGCGACCAACACCCACCTTCGCAGGGTTATCGACAACGTGCGCGGAAGGATGCACCCCGACGGCACCATCGCACTCGTAGTGCCTCACCCATGGAGCGCGCACTTCCATCGCCTCCAAGGTGATTCCACGTTTTGCCAGAGCAGAAAGACGTTGTATGATGGCGTTCTGCGATCATTGTCCGCTGAGAACATCGGAATTCACGCAACGTGTAGAGGTCGGGCCATTCTTATTCTCTTCGTTGCTTTGCTTTCCTCGAGATGTCTCCTGCTGTTTTTGATGATCAATCAAGCGGTGTTCCCGTGCCACGTGTAGTAGAGTGTTTGATGTTCCACCTATTCTTTGCGACCATGAAACTCGGCCAGCTCCGGTCGTGGCGTCTTGCCGAACAAATGCCAACCATGCTGACCTCTTGGCACCTCCCTTGCCTTTCATATACAGAGGCGGTGCGAGACGCATGCGTGGGCTTGGTTGTCGAAGATCATCCTCTGATGCTAAACTACTCCAAGAGGGTGGGAGGGCGTCCTCCCATACGCGCCGAGAACCATCTAAAGAATCACCTCGACATGGTGCTCCTCATCCACAACGAGGGAGCTACGTTCACTTGCAACAAGCGAGTGACTGTAGACGACCCGTTTGGCTTTGGGAGTGACGCCTCTCCATCGATGCAGCTCATGACTGATGTCGAATACGAAGGTGCTGCGACTGACATCGTCATGAGGCCGCTCCACTTCCTGATCAACAGGTACATATCTTGCGTGATGTACGCTGTTCAGCGCCGGAGGTCTTGTGACTTTTTTCTCATGGGCACAAGACGGCACTAGTGATGAGGGCACAGCGTACCACACACACTTTATGCGCTGCTGCTGCACCCCACCCGTCGCATGCCCAGACACACACACCTGAAAAAAAAAAAAAAAGCAGGTCGGAGGCAAATGTTGGTGGCCTGCTCGCCTGAAAGTTGACTCAGTTGTCAAAATTGGTGGGGTTTCATCGGTTTAAAATGTTGTAGGAAGGACAGAAGGTCCGTTCAAATGTGGACCCGCGAGACAGAAAAATCGCCCCAAAAAGAGGGTCCGGCGCAACCCTAACAGTAGTGTGTAGTGTGCGCTACCACGGCCAGTCTATGTGGCATTGTGCGCGACAGCAGTGTCGTCTGCCGTTTCTTGCGGCTTTTCTTACGTGTTCTTCATGCTCAGGCACGTGTCACGCCTCGGGACCGTGCTCCACAGTGCATATCTCGCCGTTTTGACTCCTCGGGACGATCAACCCCTGCATGTAGACTAGATTAAACCTTCGTAAATATACCCTTGCGGCGCCTCTCGCGCGTCTGCACCATACTCGCCAAAAATATATATCCCTCTCGGCGCGTCTGCACCACATTCGCCACAAAAATATATCAGAGCTTGGGACTAGCGATCCGACGATACTCGTCGGATCGCAATCAATACAAGACGGCACTAGTGATGGGGGCATGGCATCTAACATATTGCCAACTGGTACAACACTTGAAGTGCGCTCGAAAAACAATAACCAAGGTTTTTTTCACCATGCCACACTATGACAGGTACACGCATGCCGGGGATACGGTCGCCTCCTTGAGTGCAGAGAGGCACAACGTCGTGGAGGCAGCCCTCGAAAGGAGTAGGAGGGTGGAGGTGTTCGTCGCTAATCCGAACTCGAAGGAGGAAGTCCGAAAAAACTTGCTCGCCTCGTTTAGCCGCGCGTACAAGGCCGGCAAGTGGAAGGTACGAAGGATATTTTTCACTTCCATTTTTATCTGTTACCGGCATGTTCCGTCAGCGCGGTACTGGTAGTGTTGGTGTTTCAGGTAATGGAGGTTGTTGCTGTAGCAGAAAAAGACTGCCAGTTGCCGTTGTTATTAGTTCGTCCCATATTTGGATGCATGGTGGTTGCACCAATAGTGAGCTGCATTTCGTTGCTTTCTCTTTTTCCTTGTTTTTTTCGCATGGTAATGTGCGATACTATGGTACTTTGCACGACTGCGTGTACCCGCGCCGGAGCACGATATTGATGTGGGCTTGAAACGCGTATTTTCCCTTACGCTTCGCCAAAAAACGCTCCCGGCCGCAGCTGGCCTGTCCATACGAATGTTGTTCAACAGCACTTACCGAGTGGTAGGGTGTTGTGACGATGATGCGCCTGACTGATCCTACAGGCATCCACGTCCCTCGCGCAAGAGCGTGTGATCAGCCCTTCGTGTCTGCCCTTGGGATTGGAGGCAAACGTCATCCCTCATGAAGTACATCGTTTCGTTGACTCGACTATGAACCAAGAGGGACCCGCCATGGGAGAAGCCGAGGCTTCCCTCCGTGTTGCGACCACCTTGGCGAAGGAATTCGGCTATAGCCTCGAGGTATGTGCGGTTTGGATACTTCTTGTGTTCGGTTGTGGTGAATTGAGTCTTTTATTGCTGGCCGCGCACGTAGCTTGAAAAACTCGCGAAACATACCCATCGAACGATACCCGAAATGTTCAAACAAGATAATAAAACAGCCGCACTCCCTCCCTCCCTCCACCCCCGTTCTTTCCCGTCGGCTTCCTCTTCAACACACTCAGTCCCCAGAAGGCTGGCGGTCGGGTTCCTCGGAAGCGCTTTTGCTGCCGCGGCGGGATATGGACTACCACGTGAACTCGCACGACCTTCCGGCGTGGGGCCAGTTGGAAGTCTTCAACTCCAGGCCAGAGGCGTTCCATTCACTCAGTGTTGACGAACGAGAAGACCAGCGCGTCCGGTTGCTTCATGTGGCCAACAACGTCCAACTCAAGCGCATGCTTGTTCCCGGGAAGGAGGTTTGTGGGCCCGGCGCAGAGCTCTACTTGCGCGTGGCACCCACGTGCCCCTTGTACTACATGCGCTGGACGAATGACGTCAAGCAGGCGACCGTCGAGTTTACGTCAAAGGTGCCACAATCCGGGAGTCGCGCTGAAGTACTTGGCCCTTTTTCCCAAGTGGAGGGACACGCTTTCGCCACGCCCATGATCGGGAGGGTATTCCGAGCCAGGTCGAAGACCGACCCGAGATCACCGCTCAACGTTCTACCGGGGTTTGCTGTGGTGCGGTCTCAAGGGTTTGAAGTGCGGGAATCGGACTCGGACTCCCCACCTGCGGCAGGCAGAAAGCGCAAGCGCCCACTAAGGGCCACGGGTGGAGGGCGTGGGAAAGGTCGCAAGCTTCGAAACGGGGCGGGTGGTTCTTCGTCCGACGAAAGTGACGAGGCTGAGGAAGAAGAGGAAGGGGATGAGGAAGACGACGACGACGACTATAAAGGGCAAGCAGAGGGCGAGGAAGAGGATTACGACGACGAATGAGACAGAGATGTCTAAGAAGGGGAGCGGGAATGAGGTGTCATGGTCGGATGGCGGGGGTAAGGGGCCGGGGAGGTTCGACTGAATGGATGGAGGGTCATGGCCGGACGAACGCGGGGCGGGGTGGGTGCAGGAAGGCGCAGGAGGAGCGGGGGGATTCTCGATTGATTGAAGTCAAACACAGCTGCAAGAAACACACACGTAGTTTTCAACGTGAATGAAGATTGAATGTGATGATACCCCTTTCTATTTGTTTTTTGTCTGTATCTTTTTACGAGCGAGCGTGAGATTTCGTTTGGAGGGGATTTGAAACGAAGAAAATCAAATGTCTGTCTTGAGCCTGTCTGTCCGTCGGTTTGGCCGTTGTTGTTGCTGTGTGTGGTAGTTTTCGTGCAGCTTGTTCTTCGGCTCTTCTACGACTACACAACTAGAGTTGGAACTATGCGTGTTGTTACACAGCGACAGCACTACGCTCTATGCGAGGTAATAACTAACACTAGGAGTCACCATCACGGGCCGGAGAGAAAAAGGTACAACCCCTTGGTCTGGGACCCCAAATTTCCGGTTTGAGAGGAAGCAGATTTTGAGATGTCAATGTTTCCTCGAAACTTCGTGCAGGTGAAAATTTTCAGATTTAGGCGGCTTCATGTGATATTATCTTGGTCAACAGTCCTCCCACGAAGTTCCCCTGTCCGCAGGTGCTGTTGCTTTTTCGTGGTGCGCTGCGTGACAGCTATTAATTAATAGCTGTGCACCTTGCTTGATGACATGGGGCTCTCACTGCTGCTGCTGTTGAGTGCGCGTGCGTGCGTGCGCGTGTCCGTGTCTGCATCGCTCCCTCAACCCCAGCACACGAAATCGCACCACACCAGTACGGATACAGGAAGTGATTACTGTAGACTGGCCGACGACAGCCTCTGAACGAAGTGCTATGTCGCGTTTCAAGCGTTCGGGAGAGAGACGGGGGGTCTGGGACCGCGAGGCACATCCGAGTCAAACACTCTTCTTTCTAGTAGACACCAGAGAAAATGCTCGTGCGCGCAAAGTACGCGCCCGCCTTCACCAGGACATCACTAGGTGCTCTTCCTCCTCTCTGCTCTTCTTCTTTCTTGGCGGCGTTGCCACCACCTCTAGGTTCGTGCGCTCATCCCCCCCCTTGCCTCAATCGGACGGGCGTGTTGCTGACCTCAAGCCAGCCGGAAACAGACCCAACTTTCTGACCGTGCAGCCTCCCTGTTTTTGTGTTGGTGGTGCGCCAACTCCAAGGCCTTTCGCTGGGCGCTGGCCTTCTCTTTGGCCGCGCTGACATATTCTCAGCAGACTGCTGTGTGTGCGTGCGGTGGTGCGTGTGATATGTCACTTTGACGAAAGTTGCTAAATCGAAAAATCGTGGTAAAATTTTCCATAGTATTTTTAAGACAAAACAGAGAAAAAGAAAAGACACACAGCAGTCCCGCTGCAGCCACTTGCGCGACCACATCACCCAACTCGGTCTGGCAGTTACCCGTGACGTTGAGATATCTGGTAGGTTTGCACGCGTTTTCGTTTTACGTATAGTGCGAAGGTGTACCGATTCAGGTAAAAGTCAATCGACGGATACCCTGCGAATCGGGTCCTCCTTAACACTCTCCATCGACTCCACAAGAAGAGGTGTTCTCAGGACTTACACACATTGTGTCCGTGATGGGACAGTGTCCAAGTCAGGAGAAAAAGTGTGCACCCAAGGAGACCCGAAGCAGTGGTATCCAGCTGACGTCATGTGTTTTTTTTTTTTTGCCTTGATACTCCGCACATATATATGCGTACCAAACTGAAAATACGTACGTAAACTGATGGAGACTGCTGTATGTCCTACAACTAACAGGGTGCCACACACAAAACGCCCGACTAACCAACAGTACCCAACACCTCTCGTCTGCACCTTCCCAACATAACATATATGAGACACACAAGACAGCTACCAAACTGATTTGTTGAGGCTGTTACCCGCAATTAATTGCAGATGTACCTCAGAAAACTTTCACTTAATGTCTCATATGCATACGCTACATGAATATCAAACCAATACGAAGTGCAACAAGATACGTAGGACTTATTTCTACTGTCACTTACATCGTAAAAATATCTCCTCTTCAATTTGAAACAAAACCAATGACAATCCTCATCATGGTATGTATCCTACATGCGTTCGTAAGCTTGCTAAAATACTACTGCATTGATGTCCTCTTGTAAAAGCTGAAATCCAACAAATAAATGCTTTGATCCATGCTACATCTCCGTGTTGGAAAAGTCCTTCTTCTCCGTTCATGATAATATCTGTTTTTGTTTATTTTTTTTTAATGTTTTTGAACGTGATGTTTTTGAACGCTGCTACTAAGTGGAGGAGCGTGTCCGTGGCACGGCGCGGGAATGCTTGCTGCCGCACGCGATCTTTCTCGGGGGACAAAAATACCAGAGCATCAATAGATTCGAACCCCCATCGTATGGAGACAAGCGCTATCACTACACCACCAGTGAATGCTTGTTTGTTGCCGATTAGATAGAGGTAATCTTGTGCGTTTCTAAATATGCCACAAAGAAAGGCCCAGCTGTATTTTTTTTTCACCGTCGTCACGATTTTTTTTTCCCCGCCCGCCGCTCAACGAACTATCCATATGGCGTCACACGAATCACAGGCCAGAGAGAGACAGAGAGTTAGAGAGAGTCAGACTGAGACCGACAAGCAGACACAGGCAGACACAGAGCGAGAGCGGGAGTTGAAGCAGGGTGCAAAACCAGACCGACTGCGAGGCTGTGCATCAGCCCCCCTGTCTGTTTGCTGGTGCTGATGTACAGTCGTCCCCGCTTTAAAGACACTCCCCGACACAAAAAAATCTCGGAAACAAGGTGCCCCGCAGATGTGAAAAAGTAGGGGCGGGGAAGGGGTTGTACACACAAGGAAGAGACGGCGAGTACAGCGAAACGGCGTACAATCTTTCGAAGACTCTGCATTCGTTTACTCATGAAACTCAGGTCAATCAAGCGAAGAGCAAAGGAGGGGGGGGAGGTCCAGGCGACTCCTCGGAATATGTGGCGGGTGTAGTTTTTGGTTTCGAGAGCAAAGCACCTCTATTGCCAACGTTCGTTGTTTGCCTTGCGTGAAGTCTCGTGAGGTTGAATTTATTTGGCGTTTGTTTGTGTTGTGTTGTTGTGCCTCGTTTTGACCTTTTGGGAGGCGCGGTGTCCTCTTTGTCGCTGTGCTTTCCCGACATTTTTGGTGTCTGTGTTTCTGCGTAGCCTACATTTTCCTAGTGTCGTTTTACAACCTTCGACTTTTCTCAGGTAGGTGCGGTAGCGAGATCGTGGGCAAGATATTCACGGACGGGGAGGACAACGCCTAAAAAATAAAATAAAGAAAATAATCAAGCTCATATCAACCCCAGCGCGCTACCGTCGTGTACATGCACGATGCGTGTCGTCGTAGAACACCATCGCTTTCAGCGTTTTGGTGGTACAGTACGGGGATTTCAAACGATGTACGGAGTCGTGAAATTTTTAGAATCAACCCTACTCGGCTTCGGGTGCGGAACAGCTACCAGTGTGTGTGGCGGGGACGCGTGTGTAGAAGCACACGTGTCCCCGTCAGGTCAAGATCGATTCGGGGAAGATCCAAGCAAAGATCATGCATAATATCCTGCACAGGTCGGGCTACACGGGCTTTGCAGCAGCTGAAAACCGCAGGCAGCAGCTGAGGAAACGACAAGCACAGCGGGGGGGAAGCAGAGACAGAAACGACAGCACAGACAGCATCGACCGGAGTGCGGTGGTGGCACGTGTGCACAGTCACACACAGGATGGTGCCTGTCCCGTCGACGTGCTTGCTTTGCGGAAGATCCAAAAAGAGTTGATCGGAGATTGTGCGAAACAGTCCGCCTGGAAGGTTTCCGAGGAAAAAGAGTTCAGGGACCGAGAGAGGAAAATCCGCGTGGAGGAGCGTGGAGAGATATCGTGGAGAAGGGAAACATAAGAGGTAGCAGTGAAGGGGCTGGTAGAGGTGAGAGCTTGTTGAAGTCAGTTTGGATCCATTGCGGCGACGATCCACTGATCGTAGATCGTACAAGCCGGACCCGCCGCAAATTGCCCACAGCGGAGGACGCAGCAGCAACAGCAGCAGCAGCAGCGGCAGAGGAAGCCGCACGTACCGACGAGAGGGCAACATCGGAACACGTGTGCGCGACACACACACGTGGTCCCGGAGAGAAGTTTTCGAGAGATCCAAACAAAAGCTCGATCGGAGATCCT